ACTTCGTTAAAAAGTGGGCGGAGTCTCTGTGTCGGTCCAAAACTTCCGAAAGTCAAAAAGGGTGTGTGCGAAATGGCAAAAGTACAAAAAAGTCAGAGGACCAGAGGTCTATGAGAGAGGGCGGTAATATTGGGGCGGGCTCGCAGCAGACCCAAAATGGCCTAGTTACCAGCTGTAGTGACCAACTGCGGGTGTGTCCAATTTGATGAATTGGTTCGAAAAGTGGTCGATTTGGTCCGACAAATGTCCGCTTTGGTTGGAAAAGTCTGATTTGAAATGAAAACGGTATATATGCAGCGAACGTAAAGGTAGTAAGGTGGCAAGTGCGCGGTACGGCGCTGATCACGTTCGAGGCGGCGTATTCTCCCGGGAGTACGCGCGCCTCTCCGCTCGTTTTTGGTAAGTTTTTCTCTTTTTCACTAGTAACAGGATACAAATAATAATACAAACTACAAAGAAGTGATATAATTATATTCCAAGAGGCGTGTACTCCGAGAACAACCCTCAAAAATACTTCTTTGGGCGAATCATGGACTCCAAAGAGTGCGCACGCGCCTTTTCGCTTGTTTCTTGTGATTTTTCTCTTTTTCTACTAGGAACTGTATGCAGATAATACATGAATATTATCAGCGACATTTATTGTGTATTATTTGAAATAAATTGTTCTTGATGAAAAAGTTTGGATGACTATGCCATCCAAATCGGCTTCAACTTCTTTTCAAAAGTGAAAAGTGGGGACATTTCGGGTAAAGTTGGAGTAAAATTACAAAAAAACACATGAAAAATGTTCGCATATTATTTGTGCATTATATACATTGCTATTTGTACATAATTTTCAATGAAAATCTTTTTACGCCCAATTCCTGTCAACCTCAGAAAGTACCAAAAAACACACTTTGCTCACTAAAAAATGGCATGAAAACATTTCCAAAAGAGGAAATTTTTGGTCAAAAAATGTTGAAAAAAACCGACACAGGGAGGAATTGCCGAAATCGCCAGCGAGAGATTCAGGCGTTCGTCCCTCGCCGCGAACGCGCCGCTTGACAAACGGGAGTTTTTGGCGAAACAGCGTCACCGTGAGCGTGATAATCCCGCTTCATCTCCGGTCAGGGCCTACCGATTGAGCTTTGCATCCTTCGGACGCCGGGCAAGTGGTACCGTAATTGTCTGGGAGGATGGTGATACTAATCTACATCATGCTTAGCTCCCAGAAGCCATCGTAGAGGCTGAATCACATCCAATCAGTCTCTGCGATTTGAATGGGAAGGGAGGGGGGGGGGGACGTGGGGCGCATCCGGAAAAGGGCTGATCAATGATTTTGCCGCAAGCAAAAAAGGGCCCCAATTTTCCAAGTGTCGCCTACCCTTTAGCACTGCCGTGAGATCTAACAGCATCTTTTTTCGATCGTGAGGAGAATACTTGAATTGTCGTATACTATCCATATTCTTCTGGAATTGACACCGCCTACAACAACCTTGACGTGTGATTGAGATTAATTGTTTCTCTGGATGGGAACTAACCAATTCTGTGGTCCAAGGTGCCATAGAAGGTACGATTCCGCAGAGAGGTCTCCGGCAGCAAATCTTCGAGCTCGACTGACCGCTGTCTGGAGAGCACATCCTATGTCATCAATGCAACCTTCACATGTACTTTTGACTGTGTTATTCCTGCAGAAGATAGCGAATGACTAAATAGGCCTTCCTCTCAGAGATATCACTTACGGTGTGCACATGAACATAAATCCACTGATGAAGCGCTCTTGTGGTTCACGAATCATTGCAAAATTCACCCACTTCTCATCGTGTTCCAACTTCTTCACCTGATTAAACGAGTGCAGGCCGTTTTTGTAATAGCACGATCTAAAAATAAAAGCCTTACTCCTAAGAGTCTTCTGAAAAGTGCAGGCTTTGATTATGAACTGCTAAGCTTTTTTACCTATTATGGTCATTCGTGAAGGTGATGTTGTTCTTATTGTTTCTGAAGTCTTCACTGAAAAGCCAGCATAATATAGCTGTAATCACCGTCGACATGTTTTTTGGTATCGGACAGTATGCGATTCGCTGGGGACGTTTAGTTATCTGCAAAAAGTAATACAATCGAAAAATTAACTGTTTCCGGGAGATTATGGCTTTCATCGAGAAAAGTTACCACCGTAGGCCGGTCATGTCTTGCGAGTATACGATATCCGCTGGGCCACGGACGACTACGGCGGAATCCTACGGAACGTTAAAGGCAGTTGGCACGATAAATCCCCAAGACGACTAGGATCAATACTCCTGGCAAGACAGGATTCCGCGACCCTCCGTAGGCGCTGCATAGCGGCTTCTCCGAGGAAGGTGCCCTTATAAGGCCCCTGTCAAGCCACAACTTTACGTCCCAAACGCCCGCCATGCCCGCCCGCCCACAAATAGACGACCGTTCCTGACGCTCGTATTCATTCATTTGCTAAGCAAATTATGAAGCGAAGGGATTGGTATGAAGCGGCCGTGATGCTGCATGCATACATGGGTACACATATGCAGCCGTATCTTCGGTAGCGGTGATTGGTAAGATGCCGGGAAACTCGTCCGAAATCGATTTTCAAGTCACTGAGAACGGAGGCTTTTCCTTCGCAGGATTTTGACCGTTTCACTCGATCGTTCTTTCGCCATTTTCCCGGCTAAACAGCGCCCTAACCTAGCATTTAGGGTGAGTAGGAAACCATGCATGCCAACTGCCTTTAGCGCGCATAACAAGTAGGAAGACGGGCAAAGCCGCGACGCGACGCCGCAGCCGCGTCCCCCCCCCCCCACTTTGCCCGCCAGTGAAGCCCATAAAGGGCTTGCCAGGCCAGGCCGGCGTTTCTTCTTCATCCCTCCGGAAGGAGGGGATATGCGCGCAACACAGACCGGCTCTGCGCGCATGATGCGGACTAGCTTTGGCAGTGGTAGGCTTGCACTCTTGCACAGCGGTGTGGTCGGCACACACGCTCCGTCTGAGCTCTGGGCTCTGTCGCCGTGCCTAGCTAGGACTTCCGAATGCACGGCCGTTGCGGGGTTGTGCTTGTTAGCCGCAGAGCGCCATTATCCGCTATGCGGGGGGAGGACTATCGCTGGACATTTGGAAGATGGATGATCAGTCCATCTACGGCAGGATATGAGAGCAGATTGAATTATGGTCACCGCTAGCACGTGACTTGATAAATGTAGGGGTTTACATACGTTGTAGTGTAATAGGTGGGACTTGGGAGCGACCGAGCAGGTACGGCCCGCAAGGTGCTGGTAAGGCTTGGGGGTTTGGTCGGTTATAGGTACAAGGTTATTGGTTGCTAATGTTTCTGTCTTTGTTGCTATCATGCCATCAGGGTGGCAGGGGGCTAGGCTAAGGCATGTAACAGACCGCGTTACGCAGGCTGTAACAGTGGTAGGGGCCGGCCGACCCGGCGGTCCCAGAATGGACATGAGGGAGGTCGGACCAACCAGAGGGATATGCCTGCTCATGGGCTGCCGTCCCCTGCAACCTGCCCGCCTAATCTCCCGTGTAACGGTGGCAATACCGTGCGGGGAAGCGGTATAGTCCCCGGGAGAGCTGTGAGGCAGAGGTGGTCAATTTTTGCGTAAGCGGGACCCTTGAACCACCGATTCGTCGTGGAGGAGGATCAGTAGGGCGGTCTCTGCACTGAATAAATTCCTAGGCTGATTATAATGATAGCCTTTCATTTCGGAGCATGCAAGCAGCCCAGCCCGTATTGGAAACTCTTGAGCTGCAAAAGAATGCAAAGGTTTCTGGAGAAACAAACACTCACAAGTACGAAGGATAGTAGACTACAAACGGATTCACTATGCTGGAACTTCTGCCAGCGCCATAGTTTTGGTAGAAGAGCTTGGATGCAGTGGAAGCCGTTGTTCGATCTTGCTTTGTTGCATACCTGGCCAAATTAAGAAATATTATGCAATTATAGGGCTCCTAAATTGTTAATATCTTGGCTTTTCGAGCGCGGTTCCCGTTGAGTGTGATACCATTGCATAGACAATTCCTCATTCTGTAATTCAGTATGTGCTTAGTTTTTTTCAAGATTTAAGTTCAGCTATTTTTGAGCTGTTAAACTAATGTGCCATGTTGACGAAAATAAGCATTTTGACACCCTCGCGTTTTTGCTTCCCCCTGTTTACTTCAATTGTTGAGCTCCCGAACTAGCTCTCATGAATACCAGTCGGATCGCACGGCTGACGCCGTGCTCTCCTCCTTCTCTTGAGCTCGGCTTCGGCGAGCTGGCCTGGCTTCGCCAGGCGGCTCCATAATTCTGGAATCGCATCTCGCAACTTTTTCGACATGTGTTGTATGGGCTTTATGGCGCGGACCACACCCTTGCTGCAAATATAAGTGTATGCTTAGGAATGCAGGATCCACAACGTTGCTCTATCTATAATGATTCGATCACTACAGCGCCATATGAGCAGCCCACTGTCGAAAAAGTTGCGTTCAAATTATGTGCGCCTGGCGAAGCCAGGCCAGCTTGGCGAAGCCGAGCTAAAGAGAAGGAGAGAGCTCGGCGTCAGCCGGGCGATCCGACTGGTGATTACTAAATGGCTCATGTAAAATCGGATCGAATCGGAGCTCTCCTCGGTTCGGTTTCGCCGAGCTGGGAAAAGCCTCCATAATTAAAACGCAAATTTTTCGATAGTGGGCTGCTCATGCGGCACTGTAGTGATCGAATCGTAATAAATACAGCAACTCTGCGGATCCTGCACTCCTAGCTACGCTTATATTAGTAGTAGTTTGGTCCGTGCCACAACGCCCATACAATAACATAAATGGTGTAGGGGATATAGATACAATGTGCAGTCGGCCAATACAAAGCAATATGAATCGCTCAGTAGAAGAACAGATTCCATTAACTGCACCTGAATCCCTACCTAATAACGCTTCCCTTTCAGTCACCGTGCAACCATTTTGCTGAAGTACAAATAGTTGTAGGTATCATGCTCCCTTATTACTCGTCCTATTGAACGCATAAAACCTACCTCAATCGTCATTATGTAAATTTTCGGTTTTCTCCCAATTTCCTAACCTCGTCATCCGGGCAGTTGATTAGGGCGGTCGTCAACGGGCCGCAGCGCGTGCCAGGAACTATTTGCTTTTCCAGGCTAATTTAGTCATTTTTCCACCTTGTGAAGATAAGGAGCTGCTAATCTGGGAAAAAGTAGCCAAAACAGTGAAAAGTTGGAAAAAATGACTAAATTAGCCTGGAAAAAGCAAATAGTTCCTGGCACGCGCTGCGGCCCGTTGACGACCGCCCTAATCAACTGCCCGGATGACGAGGTTATTTCCATGTTTCCACTCGAACTAATATACAACATTACCCCCCGGTCCCCGCCCCCCCCGCTCGTCGACATCGACACTGCATAATAGGATAGTGGGATGAGTTCATTTTCTATTGTAATCAGAGAAGTGATGGCTGAACGAAAATTTTGCACATTGAACCTTCAATACTTGGCATTGTAGTGGTAAGAGATGTAATGGGAATGACCCCTTATCATAACCTATCAATTGATAAGATTGCCTGTCGCCCATCATCAATTTCCTATCACTAAAACTCTATAATTTGGTAGTGTCAAAGCCCCAACAAACAACAAATCGACAACTTTCTTACTCAGCCCTATCAGTGTTATCACCTCCTTGTCACCCCGCCGTCGATGTTCTTATCTCCCACTCTATACAAATTTCTGAAATCAACGCCTAGCTGATGCTGTGTCCTGTGTTATGACTGTGCTGACCTTCCCTTTCTATCTCTCCTTATCAAATCTTATCACCTCCTGGTAGTTCTTGTCACCGACCAATAATGTTCCTGTGCCATACCCTATATCATACCTTGGAATCAACGAACCACAGTTGCTGTGACCCGCATTATGAGCATGTTGACCATAACATTCTGAGGCCCCTTATCGAATCTTATCAGCTGCTAAAATTTCTTAAGTAAACCACACATAATCTTACTGGTCTCATTTTACATCCATATTCGGAACTAAAGTCCCCATTGCTGCTGTGACCTGCACTATAGACTGGGTGACGGTACCCTTTGGACGCCCCTTATCGGATCTTATCAGCTGATAACACTTCCTACAACCCACAAATGATGTTCCTATTACACCCCCTCCATCACTTCTTGGAACCAAAGTCTCACTGTTACTGGGACAGGTGTTATGAATTTCGTGACACACACACACACAAACCACGTCACAAACACACAGACCACACATAGCGGATTATATATAGTAGGATATTTATGCCAGAATATGGGAAATTAATAGAGTTTATGGAATGCTTTCACGCTCTCACTGAGTCACACTTAGCCTCGAAAAATTGGCGCACTGAGCCTTTAGTCATTCTCAGTGTATCCAAGAGGGTGCATGCTGTATCGCATACTTGCGAAGTCGAAATTCCCAGCTCAGTTTACCTTCGTCGACCTGGAGCCGTTCTTTAAAAGTGGGAGGGTGGTAACCCAGTCCATTCCGGTGGTGAATGAAGAACATTAATATCAATCAATCTGCTCCAAATCCCGTAATAAGTGTAGCAACTCATGTAGCATTAGACTTTTTCCATAGTGACTGCGAACGGGAGGTAAAGTTGGTTTCCTCACAACTCGGTTCGTACCGCTTTTGACGAGTCTTTAATATCACATGTTCGGATGACCACACCCACACTCAGTAGCGGTGTCCAGCCCGTAAATCATGACGGCAAACAGCCGGTGGCCACGCCCTGACGTGACGCTGAATTATCAAAAAAGTAATTTAGGATTAAGAGGTCTGATCTTTGACAGTTCTTTGGCTGATTGGATCTGAAGCCTCATGGACGAATCTATAAGCTCCTGCTTGCTGAAGGCTGCTTATAGCAGCCACCCTTTACATGTCAGCACGTCTTCTTCTTCTTTATCCCTAGCGTTATTTCGCCCCGCGCCGTCGCAGGGTCCGCTGTTCTTATAACACGTCGCCACTTGTTCCGATCCACTGCATCTTCTGCTGTGGCTTTCACTTCAGTGAGGTCCCTCTTG